TATTGAATATTATCGGATTTTAATTGGCTTTTATTGGATTTGTAATCTGAAAACTGTAAGAAATTGTTTCAGAGAATTCTGAAGGTTATAAATCACCATAATGAATCAATAATAAAAAAAAAATATAATGGTATATCATTGTTGTGTTATGTTTTGTTTTAGTCTTACTTGGTAATGTTTTTTGCATTTTAAGTTTTTATAAAGCCACAAGTAAAAATGTTTATAAAATGTAAACAATGTATTAGGTTGTGGAATTCATATAGTTAGTGTATCAAACTATGTAAATTATATATTAAAATATAAACAAACGTCATCTGCAATGTTGATTACTTGATACAAATATATTAATTAGTTAAACTAATTAACAGTATTAATTGCACATTTTAACATCTAGTGCTCACAGTGTCACAAAATGGTCATCAACCTTAACCTCATGTCCCGAGAAAACCCTTTGGTGGGATGATAGCCCACATATAGTAGATCACTTAGATATAAATTTGGAAATCGAACTATGACGTCCGAGAGAGATATTTTAGTCTTTATTTTCTTCAATTCTGGCATATCAAAATTTAAACGAGATGATAGAAATTTGGCATTTTTTCAGTATTTATAGAGCAAAAAGTTAATTTTCCCATATAATTCTATAAGACATATAAACAAAAACATATTTTACAATAAAATTGATCCTTTTTATTCTAAAATGAATGTTTGCTGTTGAAATCAATCACACAATTCAGAAGCTTTGATTCATATTCTGGATGGTTACTTACCCGTTTGTAACGCTGCCAATGGGAACTGAAGTCGTGATGAAGAGATTCTGTAGCTTGCTCTGAGAAAATGCCAAGACTAGAATTGTGTCTAAGGATGAAATCCTTCAGGTGGAAAAACACCGCATGTGCTTTGGGAGTATTTGGCAACTTCAGGTACGACTCCTGAAACTGTAAAATTTTTTGTTCAAAATCGGGGCTCAAGTGATTTCCAAAGCAAGCATTCACCACTGAGTCAAAATGTCTCAATGTTTCAACAAATGGCACAGCAAGAAAAAATGAGCTTTGCTCAGCTAAACTTTGAAGGCGATCAGTGTTTTTCAAGACCTTGCGGCAGTCATTCCCTGCAAATTGGCCACCATGAAAAGACTGCTCTTGAATATGAAGGGCTGCTAGCCATTCCTTTGCTGCGGGCCAAATCTGGCATAAACTTTTGTAGAGATGGTTAACGACTCCAAGAAGCAGATGAAGTTCCATGGGAGGAATGATGTCCAAAATCAGTGTGTCATCTGGCAGAGTCATTATGGGTTCATGGATGACGTTTTTGAAGTCTTTTGCTCTCCTTGCATTGGCACCACTGTTTTGAAACTGCAGAAAGTTTTCTCGAATTGAACCAAGTGTTCTGAGACTTCCAGAGCGACTCAAATCTTTTGATTCTGCATCACACTATGAACAAGGATGTGCACTTGCATGAATCTGAAGACCACAAACAAGATTGGGGACTTTCATGTCACAAGAGATTATGTAGGAAAGTTTGTGAAGTTGAAGAGAAGAAATTATGCTTTTCAAGTTGTCATAACTCTCTGGCAGATCTTCTGAAATTGCCACCAGAAGTTGCCATTTGACTACTGTGGCTTTAGGCCCTCGTTTTGGTGGTGGAGAATTTGAATCTGTGTTTCTGGCAATGATTCCAAGAGATACTTTCAAAAACCCACCACCTCCATCAATGCCAATCTTCATCAGCGGATCTCCTGAAACATTCCTTACTTTGATAATGTGATTTGCAAGACTTCCTACATTTGGGCAAAAAACAAGCAGTCGTGAAGGGTGCTGGTCATCATTCTTTGTAGAATCTCGTATGGCCTCGGTCTCAAAATGCTCAGAAAGAGATTTCCCGAAACTGTCGAATTTTTCTCTGAAATTTTTTTCTACAATTCGGAGATGTGTAGCTTGGTTCAAAGATGATGCCAATTTGGACATGCCACGATTTGACAATCTAGTTCCAATTTGGACTCCAACCATGTCTTGTGCCGTGAGCTTGGGCACAGCAGGAAACAATTCTCTTGCACTTGATGGTCCTAAAGAACATTTAATGGCCGAGGTTAAAATTTTCTACATTTACATTTTAAAAGAAATTTATAAGTGATTTATGCTTAAATCTATATTGCTTTACCTGGAACAACGGGAAAACGATTTCCTCCAAGTGGTTGACTTAGCCGAACAGTGCCATGAGGTGATGGAGTTTTATTAGCAATTATTAATGATGCTACCCTCTCTGCCGCAATGCAATCCCTCGAAGCAACTTCCACTAAATTTTACCTTAATGTTCCTGTTGTGCAATTGTGAGGCAATTCACAACCAATCACAGAAAAGCAATCAGTGCACCTTTTTTTCAATGCTTGAATTTTTTTTGGGTTTCGGTGGTTCCAAAGGATGACGCTGATTCATATTTGTCTTTGCAGTTTGACAAATCAAACAATTACAAGGAATATTTGTTGCAGCATGCTGAACTGAGATGGTGCTGAAATCAAAGAGCCTTGGGATAGGTGCATCCTCCCCTTCTTCTCGCCTGCGAATAGCCACACGACATCTTTCACAAATTCCACAAGGGATTTGAAAGTTTGAAAAATCAAGCTCAATTTTGAGGACTGTGCAAATTTTCTCCACTAAAAAACTTGTGATTTCTCGATTTGCCTTATTCAAACATAGGAAACAAACACATTTTCGGTTTTCTTCATGAGTTTTAGCTTTGTGTCTTATTTGAAAAAAACTGAATGTGCACCCTTTTCCCGGAATTAGCAAAATTGAAAAACAAACAAAAAATAATAATGATTTCAAAAAACCTGCTCCAATTAGTTATATAATGTCTTAAATAGTACTCTAAGCAACGTAACAACAAAAATGCTGTAAAAATGCCAAATTCCTATCATCTCATTTAAATTTTGATATGCCAGAATTGAAGAAAATAAAAACTAAAATATCTCTCTCGGACGTCATAGTTCGATTTCCAAATTTATATCTAAATGATCTACTATATGTGGGCTATCATCCCACCAAAGGGTTTTCTTGGGACATGAGGTTAAGATTGATGACCATTTCGTGACACTGTGTGCTATATCAGTCCGCTTTTTCTATGCCATTTTTCTAACTCGATTTCTGACTTTCACTTTAACCTAATACTTAACTCACATACTCTTGGTAAACAAAGCGGGATATGATGCTTTTTAGTGAGCTGAACTTGTCTTTGCGGGTACGGGTAAGTAAATATGTATATATGTATGTATATAAATAAATATATATAAATATATATATATATATATATATACGCATATGTATATATACACATATATGTGGGTGTATATAAATATATATATATATATATATATATATATATATATATATATATATATATATATATATATATATATATATATATATATATATATATATATATATATATTTATATATTAAATCTTTTGGCATGAATCTTTTTGGATTGTTTTTTCTACTTTATTCATCTATCTCTTTTTTTAGGGTTTTTTAAACAGGTTTTTACAAATGTTCGCTACATTCCTACTGATTGTAATTCTGAAACTAAACTCTCATTTCCTCAGCCAATAGTATTATTATCAATGATATATTAAAAATAACTAGATGTCTTACTGCTGTAAATCGATATAAGAAAAAAGTGAAGCAAAAATCGCCATTATTGGGGGCAAAATCAAGTACAAAGTACAAAAACAAGTACAAAGTTTAAGATTCATTTTATTTAATGTAATCAATAAAAAAACGATTCACATATATCTGAAAAATTTGATTTTGATTTGAAATTTAATAATTATGTAAAACATGCATTGTTTTTGCTAAACATTTCAAAATCATAATTAATTCATTTTTTCTGATTTTAAAATTTAAATTAGTATGATTTTAAAATATAATATTCAACTTAAATCATAGATTTAGTTGGATTTTAATCTATAATTTATTAACATTTTATGCATCTGTTAGTTATCAATTACCCTCTGCAGTAATGCTAGGAGGTATTATAACATAACTGCAAGGTAAACAGAGTTAAAACTTGTAATAAAACATTTTATAAAACTGTCTTGACTATTAACTAAGCTCTGTGTGACACAACTTAGAGGTTCCATCTAGAAATGTTAGAAGTTTATTAAACACTTCTAGTTATTATAATAATCATTATTACTTTTTTCAATAATTGATTTACCGTCAATAATTAAATAAATTTTATTCAATGTAAAGCTACAATCTAGTAAGGTTTTCCATAAAAATAAAGCTCCATAGGTATTCAGGTACATAAAGAATATCTTTCCTTTGAAAAGCGAGTTTTTCAATATAAACAACAAATCAAGAATAGTAACAGTTAATAAAACTTTATTTAATTTTTTTATTTATGACATTTTCATATATATACATACATATATATATACAAATAGAATTGCGTACTATTGTAAGCAATCTGACGTCATACTGAAATAGCCTGCTGCTGAGGGCTTTAGTACATACATCGACTGACAAATAGCCTGACTCGCAGTGGAGTGCTGCTACATCAACTGAGGGCTTGGGATGGGGAAGCAATTGTTTCATTCATCATTCATCGTTTTTTCTTCTTCTTTTTTGAAAAAAAAAGGTATAGCTTAAGGTAAGCAGAAAAAGTGAGCAAATGCTTATCAAAACACGCTTTAGTAAGTGTATGTATATATATATATATATATATATATATATATATATATATATATATATATATATATATATATATATATATATATATATATATATATATATATACTGAATTTTAAAATAATTTATTATCCTTTTATATTGTTTATATTATATTTATGCTATAAACTTTTGAATATAATTAATTTATTTGATTGTTGACATAAACAAATCTTGATTTTCTTAAAACTTTTTCTGTATATAATTGGCCATATCTTTGCAATCTGATTGTAAAAAAGTCATTTGCTAACATTTTTATTAGTTGTGTGAAATAAATGTCTTCATAAAACTTAATTTAATTTTTTTATTTATAACATTTTCATATACACTGTGTTCATTAAGGTCTTTGAAAAAATGTTTTTCATTAATAATTTTATTAACTGCATAAACCATTTTCAGCTTAAGGTTTCGCTCTACATTCAATTTTGAAAAGACTCTCGCATACTATCATAGTTTGTATAACATCATTTCTTGGAGCAATAAACCCACCCCTATTTTTTATGTTAATCAATAAAAGAGCTGATGTTCCATAAGAATGTTCCACAAAATTGTTTTGGGATATAAGTGAGTTTGCACATACAGAACATGTTTTCTTTGATAATAATCTTCTTACAATAAATCCAGATATACATCCTAGTATTGCTTCTTTATAGATAAAGGTATTATCAAGATAATTTTGAATTGTAACAATATCAATATCAAAGTTTAAAAAATCTCTTTCAGGATTTGAATAAATTGCAGATTTTTTATTCCACTTTAATGCAAAAATAGAGCCATTTGCAATATCCTAAAATGTTAAACAATTTGCATGCTTTGAGCCTACAATTTTTTTTTATTTGTCATTAAAAAAAAAGAATACAATGCCGTGTTATATAAATAAAATCTACATGACCGGGGCTAAAAGAAGACAATATTTGCCTTATCACTACACCCCACAAATTTTATAAGGGTCATTGACAAATTATTTGATATTATCCTTATTGGAATTCAACTTTTGAATAGATTTTTGAATAGACAATAGAATTGAGCAAAAGAATTCTTTTTAAAGATGACTTAAGTTGGATGACATCTGGATTATTATTAAATCCATTCATTCCACGAATACAAGAGAACAAAAACTTAAGATGATCTTGTGAAAATTTGTATGTTAGGCAAAATTTAAAAGGATTAACATTTAAAGTCAAAAGCTCATAGGCTAAGTGTTGAAGACTTTTTGCAGCCACAATTATCCTAATAAAAAAGTTTTTCTCCTATGTTTTAAAAATGGAGTACCATTAGCATCTGTCAACTTTGATAAGTAGTTTTTTATTTGATCAAAAGTTGAATTCCTATAAGGATAATATCAAATAATTTGTCAATGACCCTTATAAAATTTATAGTTCCTTAAGCATGCTTGAAATTTGGATATTTGTCATCAGATATTCAAATGCATCTGCAACTGTTTGTGCAGCAAACTTAACATTCATTTTGTGACGCTGGGAATAAATATGTTTTATTGAGATTTTATTTGCAAATTTCAATCCTTCCTCTTCTTGTATTTTATATAAAGCTTTTATATAACTCCATTTAATGTATTTTCCATCACAATCCTTAAGTACCACTAAATCACATAACACATTTCTAGCTAATTTTAGCATATGATTTGGGTCAGGGATTACACACAAGTAGTGATTATAAACTTCAAAAGTAAATCTTCCATTAATTTTTTCTAATCTTTTCATAAATGTACATCCTAATGATTCAACAGGATTAAAGTTAACATTTGCACCATCGGATGTAATGCTACGTACATTAATTTTTTTTATCAGAAGAAATTGTTAATTTTTTTTTAATAAGACATGAAAGGTTTTCAGCGGTTATTTTACTACACAGTATATAGCCAATAGGTATTTTCCAATGACCTCGTAATCCTACTAGCATAAAGACCCATGTTTCTGTAGCTGGTGTATCTGGTTCAATTGCAATAATATCTTTTCCATAATCTGTAAAGCCAATGAATCGACCTGTCTTTTTATTTATTAGAACTGATATTCTGATTGCCATTGCATCTATAATTAATGCATAATCTTTATAATTAATGTCAGTCTCTGCTTTTACACTTATATAACTTAAAACATCTTCATCTTTAGCACAACCTTTAATGAATTTTTTTTCTTTCTTTTTATTGCAACTTTTGTTTAAGAATTTTAATTTTTGCATTTAATTTTGCTTTCGTTGGACTTGCATTTGTCGATAATGTACTTTAATAATTAATGGTATTACCATTAATAATTTTGTTACTGCTTTTGATAATATTAAAGGTACTATTTATATCCACCTGGCAATCAATACTCTCTGTTGTTTCTAAAATACTATTAATATAAATTTTGTTTCTATTAGCAGCAACATTATTGTTATCACTTATACCCAATTAAAATCAATGTAATGGTGACTACCTGTTTCTGAAACTTTTTTAATGAGTCTCTTTTTTTTTGTGGCAATATAGAATTAAACTTTCTTTAGACTTTTGGTTTGGAATTAATAAAAATAAATAGCACAGCAAAAAGTTTTAATTTAGGTTTGCTATTAAAATCAGGTATATTGTAATCTGAAGGTAAAAAATGATCACTATATATGCAGCTGTGTTCAGTAGAAATAAATGTTTCACGCTTTATAGCAACAATCCACTTTTTACAAAGCTCTCTATTATTAATTGGAAATTTATGAAATGCTCTGTTGTCGTTTTTCATTGCTCTATTTATGCAACCTGCTGCAGCACAAGAAATAACCATAAATTATGAATATTAAATATTGAATATTATTTGATCCAAACAACCATGTTTTACTATTTTTTAAATTTGCCCCTATAATGTCCGATTTTTGCTTCAAAAAATAAGCGGAAGTTAGACATCTAGTTATTTTTAATATATCATTGGTTGTTATTTGTAAACTTTGACAAACCCAAAGGGTTTGTCAAAGTTTACCCATCATGTGTGATTATTACTATTTTAATATTGTAAAATTTTTCTTATATAGAAAGCTTTAGTGATATTGACACTAATACAGGAAAGTGTAATATTTGTGGGAAAATAAATTCAAAAAAAGGAGATACAACTATGTTATTAAAGTTACGTAAATAAATTATAAATCGTTGATTTTTAAATTTTTGTAGAGTATGCTTTCAGCACGTGAAACAGTAAATAATAAAAAAATAATTTTGTTCTGAATGACATTTGCCTTGCATATACATAAAAAAACCAAGTTCAACACACAGAAATTAAAAAACCATAAAGACAGTTTTGTTTAAAATATTTTTAACATTAAATTTATTTTGTTTCAAATTATTTCAATTGCTCATGAAGTTAATGTTATTATTTTTGATATTCAAATTTTAACAATTGTTTAAAGTTGTTTCTTTGTAGACATCCTGGCACTTAAACATACTTCAACCTGTCCCTGTGAATGCAAGTGTAGCTTGCGAAACCTTTAATATTAAGTATTGAGACAGTTAATGATTAATTTTTCTACACAAATTAATTATTACCTAGTAGAACAGTAAAGAGGAAAAATTTAAAAATTTAATCAGACGTTTTCTTTAAATGATGTTAAACATTCTTAGTATCTTAAGCTTATTATCATATTATTTTAGCTTTTTTGAATAATCTGACTAGTTGTTTATAGCAAATACTGAAAACTTTTACTTCCAAATATTTTTAAGGTTCCAAGTATTTTTTTACCAAAAATTAATTCAACTCTTGCTTCAATTTTATTCCTAAAGGCATCTAAAATCTTTTGATGGTTTTCAAAAAAGCGGATTCAAAAAGTTTTACCACACTCCAAGCGGTTACTATAGTTACCATCTAATCAAACCTTTTACATCTAATCAAACTATTAAACATAAGTCAAACCTTTTTTTCCCCAGCATAATTCCTGTATCAAATGCTTTTGCTGTTTTCATCATGCAATCTTTATCATTACGAGTAGCAGCTTCAATCATGAAATTCATTCCTAGATCATGATCTTCCTAAATAAATAAAATCATTCTTAAATCATAGCTACCTAAATAAATAAAAAAATTTTATCCTATAAAAGTTCAGATAACAGAAAAATAAATTAAAATTTTTCTCAATGAAAATTAAATCTGTAATGACACTGGTCAACAAAGAATTTTCATCAGAGATAATTTAAAGTTAACTGAATTTTTGACACCAATTTAAAAAAAAACAATCAGATTTTTAGAGAATGTTTTCACGATGAAAACATGTAAATACACAGATTTACCAATATTATGTAAGCAAGTACTAATTTTTTTAAAATTTATTGGATTTTTCTTATTTCCTAGATTAAAATGTTTATTTGAATGTTTTAAACTGTTATTGTACATCTGGCAACATCTCTGAAAATATCTTACTACATTCTGCCAGTGGCTAGCATTGTGTAAAGTGTAGTGCTTGTGTTATTTTGTTTCAAACCCATTGTTTGGATCAATCAGCATGCCTCAAAATTCTAAGAAAACCCTGACAGTTTTGTATGTGGCAATTTTACAACTAAACTACAATGACAAACTATTACAACCAGCATGTAGAAAATATACAATTTTTACTTTGATTGCCACCTAGGTGACCAAGTTAAATTGGTTTCATTTTGCATCCAATATGCTTGATCAAACAGATTAGCGAACAAAAAAAATATGCTTGTTTAAAGTGATTAGCAAACAAAAGAAATCTTTAACGAAATGCTGTTTGCCATATTCATGATATTAAGGGAGTCAAGAGATCATCATAAGGTAAGATCATCATAAAATAAGATCATCATAAGAAAAGATCATCATAAGTGTTAATTTATATTTATAGTCTCAAAAACACAGGGTTTTCTGCAGAATAAACAATATTGTTTATCTAGTCATGGATATTAGAACACATAGAACACATAGAACAGTGAAGCATTGTGAAGAACTGTCCATTCCGATTCCTCCAAATGGTGTAGATTCCATCAAAGATGAAGCAAATGAAGGTGCAACTGGTGGCATTCTCAGACCATTTGCAGATCCTGATTACGCATTGGAAGGTAGAAATTTTGTATCAAAACTGTTTACTCAAGGACAATTAAATTATTTAGTTAAGAACCTATCACTGAATAAAAAGAAAACAAAGCTTAATACTCACAACATGTGACTGTTTGTTTTTTTCGACTGCAATAGAAAAGTCATTCCCCAAAGATCAACATTCCACTTCATTTCTGTTAACTCCTAGGGTACTACAAGGTTCTGTCCTTAGTCAGCTGTTTAACCAAGGTTCTGTCCTTAGTCAGCTTAATTAGCTGTTTTTCATATATATTAATGATCTTTCTAACAATTTTACATATAAAGCAGATCTATTTGTTGAACACACAACAATATACTCCTGTTTTGACTAAAAGTAATCACTTTTAATCATTTAGAACAGGCAGTTGATTTTGAACCTGAGATCTCTTAGGTAACTTGTTTCAAAATCTTTATTACTTTTATCAACAACATAAACCGGTGTTAAATGTAGATAAGGAGATCCTATATAGCATCTGATAAACAGTGGCATACTGGCTACAAAAAAAGCATCCAGGATTTTTCTTAAAAGGTATATTTATGTAGGGTTTTACCATATATTCTTGATTTGAAGATCCATAAATAAATAAACACTAGGTTTTATAACAGCATAAAACTGCATTATAAAATGTTTTTATAAGCATTGACATAATTGCTTAAAATGCAATAACAATAGATTTTATAATTTTCATGCTTTAAAATTACCTTATTAAATAACTTTTTACATGATAACTAATTATATAATTTAGAAAATATTTTGACCATATAACATTTCAACTTTGGGCATCATTTAATTCCATTGTTACATAGTAATTAAATAATCCAGTGGTCGACAATTTAAAAATTAACTAAAACTGAAACTAAAAATTAAATTTTAATGATAAATTGTTTTAATTGAAAAAAACTATTTAATTTTACAAGCAATAATTTTTTTCAATTTAAAAATCAGTGATTTCTTTTAATTAAATAACTTCAATATTGTTCTATATAATAACTTCAAATTCCTATCTGATTATTGTAATCGTTTAATCAGGGTGGCCACAGTTTTTTTGAGTTAAATTAGAAGAATTTAGGGGCTTAGTTAAATTAGAATTTAGAAAGATATTTTTAAGGCATATTTAGGAGATTTTTTTGGGAAACCTGGAAAAACAAATATAATAGTTTGGAATAAATTTTTTTAACAAAATTTAGACAAGTACCTAGGAGATTAGGAGAAATTAGGAGATTTCGTGAGTATTTTTGAAATTCTAGTATATTTTATGAGAACTTAGGTCTTTTAAGAAGTTTTTTCAAATATAAAGATATTCTAGGATTTATTAGGAAGCGTGGCCACCCAGTTAATTTAACCCTTAATGTATATTTTCAAATTTATTTACAAACATTAAAAGTGATTTTATGTGAGGTAATAATAATCTTTTTTTGCAATTATTTTTGAGTTAAATTATGTTTATTATGCAAAATACTAACATTATTACGCTCAAATTTTAACACTTTAAAGAATAATTTAAAAATTTAATTTGTGAAAGCACATATAACATGCATAAAAAATTAGTTGTTTATTATTTAAAAAAAAGGCCTAAACTTTCCACATTTGGAGCTAGCATGTTGCTGCTGATAAACAAACTAATATGTTGTTTCAATAAAGATATTAAATGCTTTATCATCTGGCATATACAGTTTATATCATTATTTAAAAAGATCAACAGAATCCAAACCCTCAGTATTAGGGTAGGCAATCAGCAATGCAAGGTAGGCAAATTAAGGTCAGCAAACTATTGCTGACCTTAATTTTTCTAATTCCAAGGGTTAGTATCCTATTCAACAAACACGGTTCAAACAAAGACACTAGTAGATATATTTGTTTTTATAGACATTTTTTACATACATTTTTAACTTGAATATTCATAAAAAAAAAAAAAAAAAAACAAGAAATGTTTTAGTAGAAATAAGTAGAAATCTGGCATATTGAAAATGTAAAAAAAATATATATATATATAAAATAAATAAATAGTATAAAATGAAAAAAAAAGCTTTACAAAAACTATCCTTGAAGGCCAACATTCTCCTTTATTTTCAGTAAATTCTGAGGTTTTTTTTTTTTTATTATTTTTTTTTTAATTATCTTCGCTTCCAACAAGGTTGCAAGCAACCACTAATTAGTGTTGGAAGTTACTGGAAGAGAAAAGATGAAGATTGTAGAGCAAGATAACGATTGACAGACAACTTAAAATATTGCAAATTATATGAATCAAGAAAGCAAGATAAAGGAAGCGAATTCCAAAGAACTGATGTTCGAGGAAAAAAACTAGACGAATAAGAGTTTTTGGAGCACTTAGGAACAGTAACAGAAAAAGGATGAGACTTAATTGAATGACGAGTAACACGAGAATGAATTTTAGTAGATGGCACAAGAGACGCTAGCTCTTTAGAGTTGTGCCCATTATAGTATTTGTAGAAAAGAGAAAGAGAAGCAACATTACGACGATGTGACAGAGGTTGAAGGTTGGCTGCAAGAGCAGGTCCAACTATGTTTACAATGCATTTTTGCACCTTGTCTAAAAGAGAAAGGGCATCATTAGAAGATCCGCCCCAGATATGGCAAAAGTATTCTATACAAGGCCGGATTTGAGATTTATAGAGATAGAGAATAGAATCCAGAGTAAGAAAGTAACGAGCTCAATAAAGAGAAGCAACTTTAGCAGATGCTAATTTTGCAACGGATTTGATATACGGATTTGAAGATGAAGGATAGGAGACTCATCAAGTACATTACCGTTCATAAATATAGGAAGGTCTAAATTATTGCGATAACGATTGGCCGAAAAAAATTGAGTTTTATCTGAATTAAAGTTCACCAGCCACTGCAAGCCCCATGCTGTAGCAGAAGTGAGATCCTTTTCGAGCTCAGATGCCACCTGCAAGCAATCAGAGGGAGTTGGCTTCTTATCGTGACAAGAATAAATGGTAGTATCATCAGCGAACAATGCCACCTTAGATGTGAGAATATCTGGAAGATCGTTAATGTAAATTAAAAAGAGTATAGGGCCAGGGATTGAACCTTGGGGAACCCCTGAGGTTACAGAATAAGAAGAAGAGTGCTGTCCATCAAGGACAACTTTTATACTACGATTGGAAAGGAAGGACTCAATAATCTTAAAGATGTTTCCAGATACACCATAAGAAGAAAGCTTGTGGAGGAGACCAGCATGCCAAACTTTATCAAACGCTTTAGAAATGTCAAGAGCAATGGCCTTAACCTCTCCACCTTTATCTAATGCGCGATAAAACCTATCGGTTATTACTGATAGCAAATCAGCCGTAGAACGAGAAGATCGAAATCCATATTGATGATCAGAAAGTAGGTTATGAGATTTGAGATGAGAGATTAAGTGTTTGTTAATTAAAGATTCAAAAACCTTGCTTGTGATAGGAAGAAGACTAATGGGACGGTAGTTAGATGAGTCAGATCGCTCTCCAGAATTTTTAAAAATAGGGATAACAGGTGCTGCTTTCCAGCAGGCTGGAAAACAAGACTCTGATAAGCACTTGTTGAATAGTTTTGAAAAGATAGACGACAGCTCAGGAGAACACTTCTGCAAGACTATAACAGGTATGTTGTCCGGGCCGCAAGCTGTAGAAGAGTCTAAGCAGGAAATCACTTTAGATACAGAAGCTGGAGTGATACGAATGTCGAGCAATGGATCAACCTGTTTGACGGGTATATCAGGTAAAACGCAACTAGTGGCATCAAGAGATGATATTGATGAAAAGTTCTTGGCAAACAATTCAGCTTTGTCTTTAGGTGAGGTGACAAAGTCTGAATCGTACAAAAGAGGTGGAATTACAGACTTGCCCTTATTATTGATACTAATAAAGATTCTCCAGAAGTCACGAGAGCCTAATTTTTGTGATGAAATATGAGATTTCATGATCTGAGAATAGCGGGTTTTGGCGTTAGACAAAACCTTTTTACAATGGTTCCTAGCAGTAATAAAGAGACGTCTGTTTTCTGGAGAATTGTTTTGCTGATAGATATGGAAGTAATGGTTTCGATTGGCAATTGCAGCAGCACATTGTGAGGAAAACCATGGAGAAGAGTGAGGCTTGACCTGGAATCGTCGAGAGGGAATAAAGGATTCCATGCCAGCCTGAATCCACGAAGTTATGCAAGAAGCACATTTGTCAACAGGGAGACGAAAGATTTCTACCCAGGGGCCATCACGAAGAAAGTCACAAAAAGAGTCCCAGTCAGCTTTAAGGTAGTTGTAAGATGTACGATGATAGGGGGATTCTAATGGTAAAGAAGAATGAGATAATAGTTTTAGAGAGACTAAACCATGATCAGACGCACCTAAGGGTGAGTGTGAAGAAACTGAACACTGACTAGGATCAGAAACAAGACATAAGTCGAGTAGAGAAGGTAAATGATTCGAGTTGTCTGGAAAGCGAGTTGGAAAGTTGACTATTTGAGTTAGGGATTGAGAAAGACAAAAGTTGTTGGCCTTAATGCCTGCAGAGTCACTGACACTAGAGCCAAGCCATTCAGTGTGATGAACATTAAAGTCACCGACAACAACAATATTGGCTGATGGATAAAGAATGAGGGCTTGGTCAATATAATTAGAAATAACATCAAGAAGAGTGCAGTCTTGGGATGAGGGAGAGCGATATAGAACAAAGAGAAAGGTGATAGAGTGAAGTGGTGCTAAACGAAAGCACATAAAAGAGTAGTCTGTGGATTCAAACCTAGTTTCCCGACAAATGGGTGAATTCTTACGAATGTAAATGCCCAGGCCAAGCATGTGACTATTGGAGTCTTAACGAATTAAAGGAAGATAACCATCAACACTAAGATCACAAGATGAGACAGCTGAACTCAAATTAGTCTCACAAAGAGCAAGCAGGTCTGGTGAACTTTGCAAGAGATAAGACTCAACAGAAGAAAAGTTACTTTGAAGACCACGAATATTGGTGAATAGGTTGATAGGTTTAGCGAACTTGGTGATGAATGTGCTTTTTTTGTGTTTTATAGTTTTTGTTATTTTATTCATTTTTTAAATTTGTTAAAGAACTTGACTCGAAACATTGATAGTACTCAGTACACTGTTCTATAGCTCAAGCAATTGCCTCATTTCCACTAATAAACCCTAAGCCGTAACAAAGGGCTCCAATGTGGCCTTGGCAATGCACACCAAAAGTACAAACAGGGACACCATCCATGCGCAACATGGCACTGTTAGTACTCTGATATTTTTCAGCTGTTGATGGAATCAGCCTCTCTGAGAGCTACCACAGAGTTCGGGAAACCTGACTACCAGCCGGCCTCAGAACCATAAAACTGAGTTTTAGAGCTGTACCCTCATTTGGAGATAATAGAATGAGTTGCCTAGTCATAAAAACAGAGACACAAGCAAAACCCATGAATCGAGTCAAGAAGATCCAGCGTTCAACATCCTAAACTGGAAACAATGTATTAAAAATACATTTGCGCCAGCCTAATAGATGAGCCTAATAGATGAGGGGTGCGAGGCTGGTCAACAGATAGAATCTGTTTACCCCTTAAGTCTTTGCCTAGGAGGCCTTCTACAAGACAGCAGCCGGATGCATGTAACATCTGCCCAAGATGAGTATTTTTATCGAGACACCATCTCTAGCCTTTACTCAACCAAGAGCCCCAAGGCAGGGGGTGTTTTATGTCGGAGTTTGCATCTCCTAGCCTTTGCCTAAAAAGGCATATCCTACAAGGCAGCAGGACATGAAGCAGATTGTACTGGGTTACATGTTACCAGTAGCAGGATAAACCTGACCTGACTGAGTATATCAAGGTTCTATCCTTGGTCTTATATTGTTTTTTATCTACATAAATGATTTTTCTGACAAAATTAGATCTTTCTTTATTTGCTTTATTTTACTTTCTCTAACTAAATTTTATACTCCTTTCTTAAAAAAACTTTTCAACATAGATGAGTATTTGTCTTTATGAAAATCCCGGAAATCTTTTTTTTTGAAATTCCCAGATAATTATTTTAATAAAAATTGATCATATTATCAGACAACTTTCATAAACTTTAAACAGAATTTAGAATATTTAACTTTTTACAAAAAGGAATTTCTAATACTCGAAAAAATTAATTTGAATGAATTAAAAAAAAAAAGAAAAATTGTTACGAAAATTGATCTCGTAAAAATTTTAATTATAGAAAATATATTTGTTTAAATACAAAAGATGTTGTATTTAAAATTTTATGCAAAAATACATAAACTTTCTTTCAAATTATTAACAAAAAACACCCTTCTCATTATTTCAAAATACTCCTGTTACTTCTTAAGAATACTAAATATAATAATTTACAATACTGGTCTAAATGTAATAATTTAAAACACTTTATTTTTAAAACACATTTAGACTTGAACGTCACTAAAGTTAAAAACCTAAAAATACATCAATAGTAAAAACTGCTAACCTGGATAAGAAGATCTTCAAATTCATCTGTGTGAAAATTAAAGTACTTGTATGCAAGGATTTTATTTGCAGAAAGATCACCACATGATGCAGCTTGGTATAAATGAAATAGTGCAGATGAGAAATCTGGTTTTGTGTCAGTAAACCGCCCAATGTAGTTATAAGTTGCTAGTTCAAAGTGAACCTTGAAAAAAATATTTTTAGTATTTGCATTTGATGCTATAATGTACTGAGTAATATTTTAGTATTGGTATTTTAAATTTACTACACTTACAATTTTTCTGGTTTTTAAAAGATATCATTTTTAACATATTCTGTAATTGAGATCAAATAGATTAAGACTAGAATAGAATTAAGGTCAGAGAGGTGTTAAAGAATCAGATTCAGAATTTAAAAAAATTTCATCAGAGTACATAGTTCAGAAGGCAGAAGATCAGAAGGAAGGGTCAGAAGACAGAGAATCAGGGGGTAAGGAGAGAGAATGGAAATGATAATTATACTTAAAATTAAAAATTAATTAAATTCACATAAATAATATTAAAAATTAATGCAAAAAACCTTTCCGAGTGTAGAAATTTGCTGCTCTTGAAAGTTAGCAAGACCATTCAGCCTATCTTTTATCAGCTCTTGAGTTAGCTCTTCCATTGGAGCAGCTGAAGAAGATATGTGTAAATGTTGCTCAAAATAGTTCTATAAGGGAATGATTAAAGAAATAAAACATTTTAAATATGTTACTAATTGTATTTTTAAACTAACAGGGTTGTTTTGATTTATATTGGAAAATCATGATTTAATTTCAATTATTTGATTTTAATTGTTTTAAGTTATTATTTATTTGTTAATTATTTATTATATTCATATGCAATAAATACATATGGTAATTTCTTTGAGCTATTTAGACTAATATATACAATATATAATATAATATAATATAATATAATATATGTATATATATATATATATATATATATATATATATATATATATATATATATATATATATATATATATATATATATATATATATATATATATATAAACTGTTTTTAAATTTAAGTTTATGTTTAAATTAGTATAAAAAAGTGTGTGTTTTTAAATTTGATAAGTTGTAAGATTTTTATGCAACTAAGTGAATTTTTTGTTTGCGACTTTGCTCTATTGATTTATTATATTAACTTCATTTTTTTTTTATAAATTATATATAACAAATATAAATACATTTTTAATACAAATATAAATAAATTATACTTT